AGAACACAGCAAAAGTTTGATATATGCAAATCACGTTAGGACTAAACTTCCCGTTCGATACACAATACCCTAAAAATGATTGTTTCAATCACTTCTCGCTAGCCTTCTGATATTGCGAAATACCTTCTGGCCTTAGGCGGAGTCCGAAGAGGACAGTTTAGTCACGTGATTGCATTGTTCCTAGAGAAATCAATAGTTGTTGGTGGGTCGACATATTTTTAGTTCATGTGAAATTGTTCGTCTCACGGTAGCAGAGTCGCTGTAAATATTAGCTATAACGCTGCCATGCAGACGACCGATTGGTTATAATGTGAAAGTGTTCAGCATACAACAACTTAACACTTTAAACTACGGTCATCTCATAATCCTAGTGGTAATTAACTCAGTAGAGCAAGAAACTAGAATGTATAAGAGTAAACAAACGAACAGAGATGATAAAAAGGAGACAGGTTGGAAATAATACTCATAACAGATAAGTCATGAGACCTTCTATGGGCTGCTGACTATGTGTGGGGACGATTGTTATCGCTATTGGACATAATTTGTAGCTATTCCATACGAAAGATTTTAGGCCCACTGTGTGTATATGATTGTTGAATCTCGCATAAAACATCCCACCGATGAAGTATTTAGTCCTGTTAGCCTTGAGTTAGCCTCAGGCAAAAACAGCAGATATGTTTTCTCTTTGACAACTAGCTCGTAAGTGTCAATGGTGTGTTTCGAATGTAATCTTTGACGAAGTAGCATGGGATGCTTAGTATGTTGTGCGCTTTTGCCAGATTTACTCTCCGCTAGTATTCAACCGAAAGCAGTGTAAGGTAACAAAGTCTGCTCTTAACATATTATTTTGTTAACTCTAGCAATTAATTTGTTGCACGTCCGTCCATCCGCTATAGGGGACCCATATACACTTTAAGGATTGGGAGCGAAAAAGTGCTGTGGTTTGTATGGTGAAGACGTCTGTGGGCATTTTAGCGCGCCAGAAATAACTAAGGACAGATAGTCTTGATCTGTTTCCGTATAAATTTTGTTTGTTTTAACTTGTGCTAGTGTAGAAGCTCTTGACAGTTAATAGGCCCAGGTGGCGCTCTGTGAATGGAGCTGGTAGGTTATAGTCACAAACACAAAGACGATATACAGTTATATCTAACAAAATTCCCGTCTTCATATAAGTGTTCGGTTTCGGGGAATCAACGATGATCTGGAAGGAAATATTTGTAGTTTAGACATCTTAGGAACATGCTATTATCCATATGAACTCTCCAGACATCGTATCATAACTTAGCTCTGTCTAATATGTAGACTATTGTCTGTGATAACGTCGTTTTCGAAATTGTTCGTAATCATGGATGCAAATAGCGTTCAATAGCCGAGAATAAAATTATACTTCCAGTTTGTCGTGAATAAAATGCTAGTGTCTTAGTTTATGCCATGAAGGTCTGATCGTTATGTTACCGTGGCGATCGCTGCGATGCAATATGGTTGATATGTTTTTCTGTGAAATCTAAGTATCTGTAATGGAGTCGAGCAACTAGTGCTAAGCTCTGAGTAAAGGAATACACCGATTCTGTATTATATATCTCAGCATTAAACAGGAAGCTGGAAAAACTTTGACGGTTGGTCTTTCAGTTTTCTACATTCTACCCCAAGAGTACTGGAAGTCTCGTCCTGAGATTTGATAGGTTTCCTAGGTTCAGTTGAATAACTCAAGCATTTTAAACCAGTCATTTGATTAGCGTTATGCTACCACAAACACTATGGTATAGGGCACGTCTCCCAATATCACGTAGAAACCAGGTTATTATCCATATTATGAGTGTTTGTCTCCGATCAGTTATAGCTTGATCAATAATAATCAATCAAAGGTAGATAGTAAGTCCATCACATTGCTACCCGATGACCGTATTTTATTGGTTAGGCGTACGGCACCAAATCTGTAGGGGAAATGGTTTGAATGAGTACAAAGGCAGTAATTCTGTTCATGTGAAATAGATCGAATACTAGAACTTTTGTAAATCACCAACGTTGACTGTGGTTTATTGGGAGTTTTTTCCTTCAATGAGTATGAATAAGCATTTGTATACTCAATCTCCATTTTTGACGAAGAGAATGATGCATAAAAAAGTACTGTTTCACATTAATCAGTGCTTGATTTACATAAGTCACCAATACCACGTAACACTTGTATTTTATAAAGCATATAACAACACGATGGTGTGAAGGTATCTTGAATAAACAGATAATTGATGGTGATTGAGTAGAACGATAAAAATTACTATTATGGCTATTATCATTTTTAACCGAGCTAATATCTTGAGACACACCGAAATATTGATTACAATTTCAACATGATATTATATTTGATTAACCTCTGGGTAAATTTTAAGATTTAACAAGTCGCATAGAAGAGAATAAAAACGAAAATAGAGGTTTTATAAGGTAATAAATTGCATAATAATATTTACTATTTCACGCCAATGTAACCTAACTGAAATTAGTAAACAGGATAAACAACACATCTTGCTGCACTAGATATAAACTGGACCAAGTTGTTGCACATTTACATTACTCAAGTTTAACACCAAAGCATCAGGACACCGAACGCAAACGGTTCTCACGTTGAGACATCGAGCAAAAATAAATCGTAGATCACCGTTTCGTCCTAGAATGCGACTCCACAGAGGCGTGCATCCACGATCCAACAGGCAATACTCGAAGCAATAAGCCGGTATCCAGTGGCGTTGATGTCTAACCTCAAACGATGGTGATATTGCGCGACCATCTTTCAGTGGGTTTCTGCCTGACGCCCACCACGGATTGGCGCCAGTGATCTCACTATTGTACCAGAACCCTGGAAATTTCCTCTTAAAGCTAGTTACTAGAGGGCCCTTCAAATTCTCTAGTACGATCGAGAGTTGGGAGAGTCAGATCAAAATGCTTTCACGGGCATGTACATACACCACTGCTAGAGAAGTCCTACTTACTGCATTCTCGAGGCAGGGTTTTTGTTTACGACATTGTGAGAATGAAAAGCGGATGTTCAGCTCTTTAACCGGTGTAGTGGGAACGGAGCGTCTACCTAGAGAAGTTGGAATACACTGAGTTCAAACTAATGGTGCATATCGGCTCCAGGATCCTGAGGGTACAAATAGCGTATGAACCTAATGTTTGTCACCGAGTACTATACTTGCCTTGATTAAAAGTCAGATAATTCACGTTAGCTTATGCAGGTCGGACAACAGATAGAGCTTTTTTTGGAAAGCCTTAATATCGACATCTTTTGTCTATCCGAGACCCGTATTCAAAAATCTGGTGAAGTACTACAAATTCGCTCCCCATTTGTCACTTTAAAAGGCTTGTTTGATGTGCGTTAATCCGGGAACACTGTGGCATCTTCTTCTAGTCTTGCTGGAGTTGGTGTCGAACTAGAGCTGAGATAGCACTGATCGATTGGAACCCCATTAACAGTTGGTTATGTGCTGTTCAATTAGAGAGTTCCATCAAAGTGAGAAAAAACGGCGTGAGAAACGATGTCTTTTCGTCATCTCCGATTACGATTCGACACGTTGCAGCCCGGATGCAGTCAAGGATAAATCCTATCATCAGTTAAGTGTTCTTTTACAGGAAGTGCGTTCCACATAAACCATAGTACTAGCCGGAAACTTAAATCCACAGATCACGCGTCTAGGCAAAAAAGAGAGTCGTTTAGATGGCCAATCAGCACTTGTTGACCGCAGGTCAGATAACGGTGACCGTCACTTGTAGCCTCGCGAAACGTCCCACCCATAGGCACTGGCTTTCTACAGGCTCCTTACAGTTCATTGGAGCACTTCATTTTACTCCGAGTAACCTCAAGTGTGACAATAAATGTAGATTCTTAATTAAGAAAATTTTCCAACGTTTGCGTAAGGAGCGGCAAGCCCGGTGGTCGGAGCGTGCTAATGAGTTGAAAGCAGTAGTTGCATCTGGTAACTGCCTGAAGCTCTTTCAACTTATTCGAGTCACTGACAGCAAGAAGTCTGATGTGAGTGAAACAATCTGTTAAGCTGACGGGATGAAAATCACTAACATTTATCGACGTCTTGGACGATTATCAGAGTTTTTTGGAAAACAGTTCAACTGGCCTGTTGCCCCAGCAACATCGGTCAAACAATCCTACCCCCATGGCCTGTGACGACCCGAATACCCAATGAGGCTGAAGTACGCAAGGAACTTCAACATCTGAAGCTCCGCAAGTCGCCTGGCTCATACGACTTACCTGCAGCACTTTCTAAAAATGGTGTCAACCTTCTGCTTAAAGAACTGCCTGAGTTATTTACAATGGTTTGAGTGTTTCAACATCGTGGACTGAGTCGAAAACCACGTCGATCAAACCGGAGATCCACTCGATAGTAGTGGGCCGGTTTCCGTCTAGAATCTATTGATCATATTCTCTCCTTCCCCCTGTTAGAACACCGTCATACTTATCGAAGGCCAACAATCGTAATGTTTCTTGACATCTGGGCTGCCTTCGATCCGTTGGACAGGACTTTTCTCTGGGATTGTCTATCGAAGAAGGGTGTGCCTGAGAAGTTTATTAACATCCTATAAGCCCTATATACAAACACCTCAGGTAGAGCGAGGGCACACAACCACCTCTCTCCATTGTTCCATTCGAGCAGTAGGGTTAGACAGGGTTACACAATCTCACCATTTCTCTTCAACCTTGCCATCGATGACATTCTTCGAACAGCTCTGATGGATGTACGTAATGGCAGTGAGAATCTGTTGACTGCAGGAGGACTTCTCGACCCTGAGTGTGCGGATGATATTGTCTTACTGTGCGAAGATACTCAAGTCATGCAACCTAGCTTCTCCGAGTTGAGGATGTTGGACACCTCTGTGTGTGATCATTGCTGTCTTCGAAGGATTACGGACTTTCAGTGGCAACGCCATATTAGTAATGCAGAGGTTTGTCATTGTGTGCCGGATAGAAAGGCGTTAATTCAACTGATGTCACCATCTTGAAACATCGAATTTGGTGAGTTGGACATGTACTACGAAAGTCGTCCCAGAGAACTCAACATCATGTGCATCATGTGCTGACGCTGGAACTGGTTGTAAAAAAAGCGGAGAGGTGGTCAGTATGGGAAGGATAGGAGGCTTGATGGCTTGTATTAGTCCTGGCAATGGTGGTCTCTCAGTTGATTCAACTTTCTTTTGAAAGAGTCGACGGATGGAGCCTCAACCACGTGCTGAGGTAATGAATTCCACTCGTTGATGATTCGGTGGGAAAGTCGGTAGTCAGCTGACAAGTAATTTGTTCTGGGCTTGTGAACTTTTTTGGAGTGTCCTCGTAAATTCTCTGTTTTGGAAGACAAGAAAAATGAGGGCATATCAGGTGCAAATTTATCACTAAGCAATTTGAAGACTGTAATCAAGTCGCCTCTAGTTCTGCGATATGACAACGGGAAAAGGTTCAGCTTGGCCAGTCGAGCCTCACACGGAAGCTTCGCTATTACGGGAATCAGTTTAGTCGCTGTTCTCTGAACCTTTTCCAGAAGCTCACTTTCTTTTTTTTAAGCAGAGGCTGGCCGCTTGTATGCAGTACTCAAGTTTAGGACGTACGAACACTGTGTACAAAGTCAAAAACGTCTTGGCGTCGACATGACTTAAAGCCCTACACATTGACCATAAGGTCCTAAGACCTTTGGTGGCTATTGCACGGCAGTGTGCAGTAGTCTTTAGGTCTTGACTAAGGATAACTCCTAAGTCATTATATGTCTGGACGACAGGTAGCTCAGTGTTATTCATCATGTATGTATCTGTACCTTGATGACCAATATGTGTCACAACACACTTGGAAGTATTTATCGGCAACTGCCAGGTTTGAAACTATTCAGATAACTTCTTCAGGTCATTTTGAAGTTCTAAGCTATCACTCTTACATCGTATCGTTCTCCATATCTTGACATCGTCAGCATGTAGCAAGCCCGATGATGATAGGAGACGAGAAAGGTCATTTACATACAAGAAGAATAGCACTGTCCCCAGAACTGTACTCTGGGGCACTCCACTAGGCACAGTTTCCCAGCTAGATAACTTTGAGTTCACCCTTACTCTTTGTTGACGCCGAATTAATAAATCTTTTATCCACATCAATAAATTGCCTCCGATCCCGACTTTTCTTAAATTATATAACAGCCGGTTGTGTGAAACTTTGTCAAAAGCTTTACTGAAATCAATGAAGGCTAGGTCTACTGGTAGCTTTTGGTCCTTAAGAGCGCATCACCTTTCACGAGCCACTAACAAGTTAGTGAGACAAGAATAACCTATTCTGAAGTCGTGTTGCTTCTCCGAGAGGATACAGTTTTTATCGAGATATTTAAACAGCTCCTTCCGAATAATCTTTTCTAAGATTTTAACAACCACACTAGTTAGGCTAACAGGGCAGTAGTTCTCAGGTTTGTTTTTTGTACCTGTTTTGAAAACAGGACTTACTATGGCGTTTTTCCAGTCTTTTGGTAAACGACCCTGCGTAACGGATAGGTTAAAGCATGTACTCAAAGGGCTTGCAACGAAGTTAGATAATTCCTTCAGTAGCCTAGGATGTAATTCATCGGGCCCCGTGGATTTACCTATGTCAAGCTTATTTAGCAGACCAAAGACATTGATTTCTTTAATGGTCACGCTATCCAGTGTATGTATGGAGGGATCTGCATACACTGACGAGAAGGGCATTTCTATGGTATATACGTTGCTAAAGTAGTTCGAGAACATTTGAGCCTTACCAAAGTCGTCTTCCATAAATGATGAGGCAGTACTGTCTCCCCATAGAGAAGAAATATTTCCTTTTCTCCTTGTCCTTTGGTTTATATAGGCATACAAACGTTTAGGACATTCTATGGATTCCTTAACAAGTTTTCCTTCGTACAATTTTCTAGACTTACGGGGGGTCGAGGCACAAGTATTCCGAGCCTTTCGATACTGAGATTTTGACTCATCAGTCCTCAGTAACCTAAATCTATCCCACACCTTCCTTTTCTTACGGAGAAGGATACGGACCTCTCTACTGAGCCATGGTGGTGAGTTTTTCGGCCCCTTTGGTATAGTCCAAGGGATGTGAGGTGTGGTAACTTTTAAGTATGAATTTCGAAATGCGTCTCAGGCCGTTTCAATTGAGGACTCCGGTTCTATTGTCAAATCTATTAACGATGCTGAGTGCATGATGTCTGGTATGTTTGCTTTCCAGACGTTGAGTCTGGACTGACGCGTGCTCGTGAGTGGCAGTTATATGGAAGTCGAAAGTTAGAAGTGCGTGGTCACTTTTACGTAAAGGTGGCATATGCTGGAGGATCGCAACATCATCCTCGTCGTGAGTCAGTATAAAATCTAATAAGGGTGATTCCGTGTCCGGATCGTACCTTGTCGCTTCTTTCACATGTTGCACTAGAGCACATATGATAACCCCATCAACTAGTTCCTGCTCGAAAGAATTCTTCGACGATTTAGTTCGCAGATTTTCCCAGTCTACCATAGGTGCATTGAAGCCCCCTAGGATTAGACATCGACCACTTTGGGACCAAGTATTGAGACTGCTTAACAGGATCGCATTTGCCTCACAGCTTGGACTGCGATAGACCAAACCAATAAGCAGCTCTTGTCCATTGCATTTCAAGCGAAGACTAACTAATTCACACGTCCCACTCTCATGGGATACACTATCGATAATGGTCAGCATCCAGTGTCGGAAACTTACAGGGCTATTTATTTTAGGGATTTATTTGCCACTACAATAGCATTCCTAATGAATAGAGCTACTCTGCCAACGGTAGGTCCTTTCGCATAAAGACTCCTGAACCCTTTAATTTGTGTCCATTCTGTAAAATTAGGTCACGTCCGTTTGAAGAGCCGAATACTACATTAAGCATTCTGGAATTATTTGGCTTCGAGTCCGCTAGACTCCCTAATCTGTACACCTTTAGCAAGGTGACTCCGGTCATATTTTGAGGCATGAGTTGATTAAGCAGCTGCCTAATCAGTACAATGTCATGCTCAAAACGAGCTTTAGGTTCAGAGCTCTCGCTGTCCTTGATTCTATGAAAAATAGCTGATCTGTCGCCATGATGAGCTTTCGACTTTTCAACTACTTTCACGGGGGCAGGGTTCCTTTATATATCCCTACTTTTCTTCCTTACAACCTGTACCTATTCGTCAACGGTGCTGGTAGAAGCAATAACAGTTGCGTCAAACCTAGTGTTGGATTTTGGGGGGTTGTCGACGACCTGAGAGGTCGGGTTATGTTTACCTCTTGAAACCGATCGAACCTTGCGATTGCGGCTTCTAGGTGTTTCCTGTTGGATCCCATCTGAGAGACGGAGAACAGAAGACCCTACTTTTCTTGAGCTTTTGTTTAAGGCAGGCGCCTTTGGAGACTGCTTTTCCTTCTTTGGCGGGCGTGAGTCATCTATCATCGGACTAACCTTAGTTTCCTTCACGTTGATTTGCGTGTCGACAGATCGAGCGCTGTTTGACGCGTTCCGACTATGCTTGCTAAAACACTTCTTTGCAACACCAACCAGCGAGATGGCCTCGGTTAACAAGCTGTTTGCATCCGAGCAGCACTGTTGACAAAGCCATACACAACCCTTCTTACTGAACCGTTTGAAAGCAGCAGGCGTTAAGTTCGTGCAAACTTCGTGGTACCAGCCTTTGCACTCGTCGCACTGCATGCCGCTTTCAATAGGATAACGACAACCCGGACGTTGGCAACTGCTTTTTGCACACTGTCCGGTCATTTAGGAGGGGTTCTTTTTCAAGATGCGATGATACTCAGAAACAAAAAAATAACCAATGACCAAAAAAGTGAAGAGCTGTAGATTGCTAGGACCAAAAGTACTAACAGATACAGTTGAAAAAGAGGTACTCCAGAGTACCAACGACAAAACTAATTGAGAGAACAGTAAAAACGATACTCTAGTCGAATACTTTAACTGAAATAAATTCAATTAAAGTGAAAACAGTAGTCTTGATACGTAATAAACGATTAAAACAAAATTTACTCAGCGAGGAAAAATACCACTGTCCTTTTTAAATAGCGCGCATGTTTTAGGTACGAATTACAACTGTATTGGAGAACATAAGTTACTTCCTTTGTGAAACTGACCTAAATTATTAATAACCGTTTGAAGATTAAGCTAATCACACCCTCCTCTTATTTCAAAGTGAACTAATGTACTCATTTATTTGGTCAATTTAGGATCATAGTGTCCATTACGTTACGTTGCTAAATTTGTATAAAAACAGGTTTGAGTATTAAATGCAGATGTTACTTTAAAAAACAAGTCAATTTTTCTAATACTTGCAAAACTGAGGATTACAAATTCTCTTTTGAAATACAATAGTGTCGAACATGTAATTCACTGCATGATATCAAAAGCGTCCAACATAATATAAAAACCAACACGTTATTTTCAACCGATACTAAAGACTATACCAACACGACTGTGAAGTGACACCAATTTGAGCAATTTACACTCCGCTTGACAATGCAGTGGTTTAAGATAACTGACAATAAACCTTAATGGGTATAGTTTAGAACTTCATGTTGCATTTCAACTTCTAACGGTTGCATGGTTCTTGGTGCGTTACCGATTATCACTAACTACAATTTAGTTAGGTACTAATGCAAATATGAACAATTGAACTAACACTTTGTAATCCCCAAAAAATATACTTACTAGGCATTTATTATGGATGAGAGACGTGAAAATGGGCAGCTTGGAAGATACTTTCCGATAAACTGCTTTATATATTTTCAAAGGTAGTTGTAAGAAAACTGACTACGACATTTTGATTTTGACCTAATTGCAAGCTCCTATTTGAGCAATTAGCTAATGACATATCTTTTCCTGTGTTTAGGTCACACTGGATTAAGCACCAACTTATTATACAATTTTGAACCAAAGATGTCTTAGTTTTGCATATGTTATGATTTATTATTTATGTTGAGGTATGGTCTCGTATTCTGTGCATATAATTACATGAATTTCAAAGTATAAATCATACAAATATAATCGTTTCATTTAACTAGGGTTCTAATTGCCAGTTGGGGAAACAAATTAAAATATTGCGTAGGCAACCACTCATTTTGACAAAAAGTATAATCTCACCCGAATATTTAATGTTTTAGAGACAAAAACTGAGATTTTATTGCTTTTATTTTCAAAATTTAGAACTCTAGTTCTTCTTATTAGGTGCCAATTAGGTATAAATAAAGGAATGAATCGATGAAAAAGTGCTACAATGACGACCAACATATGTTATTCACCAGGAAATCTTATCCGACCAGTTAAAATAACTAAGCAGGAGTTTCATTAAGTTTCTAGTACAAATTCAACTCATTTAAGATGGCCAATTACTACAATTTAGTTTGATAAATAACTTACCAAGTATCAAAAGTGCGTTGGTATATAGATTGAATTAAAAACTAACAATATTAAATGTTTTAAGCGCAACATATATCATCATCAATATTTATCAATAGTGTATTAGAAGATAAGTAAAATGCGTTATAATGACTCTGTACAGAAAAAAATAATAATATATAGTTATCATGAGGACATTTATAATCCCAAAAAATATTTAATAGGCCAATCATCCAGGATTACCAACTCTTGTATTTAAATCACCTTCATAAAACTGTCAACGTGAAAAGAAAAAAATCTGAATGTTTAATGTGTCATATAATTATTTATGAACGAATCAGCATAGATTAAAATATTTTATCACACTTCGCGTTTTGTGATGTGATGATTTAACTTAGGATGTACTTGCTTACAGATCATATGGTTCGTATTAAGTTTAGTGATCTTAAAAGTAATCAAAAGGAATCTTTGGAGTAGTTTAAACTTTTCAATCAGGAGTAACTTTAACTATGACGCAACTGATGATTCCGATGTGTCACTCAATAACAACACTTGAGACAAAACAACTGAACTATTAGGACCAAAACCGATTGTTTGCAAGTCTAAGATTTCTCTACTGATCATTTTGTGAGTAGTAACCAGTATCAGCTGCCTACAGCGAAGAGGCGTAAGAAGCCTTGATTAGCTAGCTGAGACCCAAATGGACTATAACTACTACGATTTTCTCACAAAAAGTCCTATCTAAGGAGATATTGTAATAAAGCATACAGATTATTCTGTAAGTAACTATTAGTGCCCAGATAGTGAAGAATGTGCCATGGTTAATGAAAGAATATATCATAACCGTAAAACAGGTCGAAGATTAGACTTACTAGTGGGAATTTAAAATTAAGGTGATATGCTAAACTAGTAATAATTGGCCAAGCAGTGTCATTCATCGCTAGTGAAGTGGAAGTTAAGGACTGTTAGCTTAGTGGACGATATTATCAAGGTGATACTTTAATCATAAAAATCATGATGGCCTTAAGTGACGATCTACGAAAAATGATAAGAGAATTAAGATAGTGTGCTTTTCAGAACATCAAATCAAGGGACTACGCTTCTTATTATTGTACTGAAATCTTAACACAAACTGCAGAAAATATTACATGATTTCCAAGATATACTTTGTTTGTATTTTAGCACTTAAAGTATGGATTATTCTGCACAAGCACTCAAACTGTGAAGACGAAGATCAATCAAAACGATCAACAGTTACCTATCACATATAAAGAAGCGATAAATATTCATCTTTCTGCTTTGTTTCTTCATAACCCACGAAGCTCATTACATTGTCAATTACCATCTTACGGATAAATCGAAGACCGCAAAAATTTAGAAACCGAATCCCACGAGTTTATTTACATTCAATTACGAAATTAACATTACTAATAAAATACCAAAACTTCCTGAAGCAGTTTGTAACGAACTGCAAAAGTTTAAAATGTCAATTAACTTTAATTACTAACTACAAAAAGAATAATAACGGTCTTGTAAGCGCTCGGTGAATAATGAGGAGGGTCTATGCTTCTCGAAACCAACTCAGATGCTTACACCTTTAGAATAATGTCTACAGAAGTCCTACTTACCGAATTTTGCGGCTAGTTAATCAGTCATGCGCAACGTCCCAACCGTTGTTGATAACTTGACGTGGTGGTCAGGCTTGCCCGACGCGATGAACCAATCGAGCTATACTGTCTGGAACAATCGTTCCTCAAGGTCCTACCATACCAGACATGTCGATTGAAGAGCGATGAAACTAAAAGCAGCAAACCCAAGGTCCGAGGGCGAAGTCATACTGCTAACCGTACGGACGTGTGACGGCAGTAGGGTGTTTCTTTCAGACAACCGGCATAACAGCGATGTTGCAATCCCACAAAGAAAAAGTGAGGTTAGAAAGGGTCGACCCTAAAAATGCACACATCGCCTTATCCCACGGATATCCGTCTCCGGCGATAAGGTCTCAATAAGTACGGAGCTAACACAGAAATTACCCACAAAGAACTCGCGTGACACCAGTTCAGACAGTTGTCCCTTGAGTACTGCAGTCACGCTCTCGGGTCACTAAGACCAACTCTAACTGTTGAAGTGATCCAGAAAGTTTCTTGCTAAAGACAAACAAGGATCAGGAGACACTAAGAAGCGTTTTATCTAATTGGCGTTCACTTGAAGTTTTAGCCAAAAATATCAAGGAAGTGAAACGTCACATGTAGAGGTTCTGATTGGCTGATTGCTATACTGCTACTATTTATAGTAGCATTCCAGAATCTTCGAGCAACCCAAGGCCATTTAAAAATATTATCTGTGTTAAAATGAACCGTGGAGTAAACTACTTCTCGCATACTTTGCGTCTTCTCTCTCGTTGTTCAGGTCACTGTATAGTCCTAGCTTGGGGGTTACAGAATAGCTTAGGAAACGAATATAGCGTTCAATTTGCAAGACTTATCACTAACCCAATTTCCTTTTCAAGTACAGGTGGGCAACTGGGAAGTGATAACCGCCCTCATACCTTTAACAGCACTTATAGTCACTGTATTCATAATCAATCTCCCTCTTCAGTTCATATCATTCATCCTACCTCGACTATCAACTCTAATTTTCCTCCTCAAGTGTCACCGTGCCAGATGATTCTAGTGAGCGAAATATTGCCACACGTCTACTGAAACTTTGCTCCACACTACACATTGGAGCCTTCGACGTACGCATCCTATGCCAAATAGGCCAGCAGGCCTCCTTCGCTTAGACCCTAGAGTCTCGTTCGATTGATGTATGCTGTGTCTCCGAAACACATAAACAGGATCCAAGTGTAGTCATTCACTTGACCTCACCTAGCCTAAACGAAAACCCGACGAGACATACACTCCGTCTATCTGACGACCCGGCGGCAAGTTCTTGTGAACTGGCGAGTGTACGCATAGTACTACGTATGAGGGCAGAACAAGCACTATTAGAATGGACCCTTGTTAACAGTCACCTATAAGTTGTTTGGCTAAACGGCTCCGTAAGAACTCGGAAGGATAGGGACATACATCACTGCCTTTTCGTCGTTTCTGAGACACACACCCACTGGCTACAGCCCGAAGGAAGTGAAAGATGAACTTTATAGAAAGCCATTTGAACTTGTTCAAAAAGCTAAACACTCAGTATTCACAGATGACTTTAATACCAAAGTAGATGGCTTAAACAAATCAGAAAGACATTTAGGTGGGTATTTCGGTATTCCGGCACAGCGAACAGACATTGGTGACCGTCTGCTGCAACTGTGCTTAAACGATCATTAATCTTTAACAAGCACTAATTTAAGATAATAAGAGGAGACGTGGTCTAACGTGGCGAACCCCTGTAACATACCAATGATGGACTCAAATAGATCGTATTGCCATCAGTTATCGTTGGGGAGGCTCGATAGAAAACTGTTACTCGTTCTGGAATACAGGTTTGTTCTAATACGAGCACGCATTTACTTGAGCCTCACTGGATGCAGAAAAGCCACACTAAAAAGAACAATTAGAACTGAATTGAGTAGCGAGAAAACCAAAAGTAGGTTCCAGGAACAACTGAGGTCACACTTAGGTAGTTCTGAAAACGAGGCTGACCCAGATGTTGCTTGGAAAGATAAACAAGCAGTTGTGGAAACAGCAGTGACATCCATTAATGATGTAAAACACAGGGTTACAAAGAACTAAGGTTTATTGCACTGATGGATTCTCGTAAACTCACCCCATAAGGCTCTGAACACGATAAAGAGCCAAAACAAATCAGACATAGGTAAACCTAAAGTCTAAGGAACGACGTGAGCAGTGGTGGACAATGAAAGAAGAAGATATAGAAAAGGCAGTGGCTGTATGTAACGCCAGAAAGCTTTTCAGACTGATGAAAGAAACTGGAATTAACAAGTCAAGTGTAAGTCTGACTATTTCGGAAAAAGACGACACTCTCATCTCCTCCCAATCGAGACGTTTAGAACGATGGGCGGAACATTTTAAAGAACAGTTCAACTGGCCTTCAGCTACTCCATAACTATCCTCCACTCCCAGACAGTATGAACGGAACATTGAAGTAGGTCCCCGACCCTAGCTGAAGCTCAAAAGGTGATAGTTAATCTGAAACGAGGAAGGGTAGCTGGTACAGATGGAATAGTTCCAGAGGTCTTTAAGTATGGTGGTCCAGTTTTAGCGATTAGGTGGACTAATATTTTAGCTAAGACCTGGAAGTTTGACATAATCTCACCTGAATGATCGCAATCACTGATCGTCCCAATATATAAAAGAGGGTTAAAATCATCCTGTGAAAATCGTAGAGGGATTTTCTGACAAAAATAGCATCTAAGATACTAGCGTCAATAATTATCGTTCTCTTAACTAAGACACGTGAACTGCAAACACGAGAAAATCAGGCTGGCTTTAGACGTGGCCGTAGATGCATCGACCACATATTCACCATTCGTCAGGTTCTAGAACACAGGCATGCTTATCGGCGTCCAACAATGGTGGTCTTTCTTGACGTAAAAGCATCAGTTGACTCCGTAGACCCCGAGGTTCTGTGACAGTGTCTGTCATTGAAAGGCGTACCTCATAAGTACATAAACCTTGTGAAGGCTTTATACTCGAACTTTACCAGTCGGTTCAGAGCTTATGGTGAACTGTCATCTGGTTTTGCAACCTCAAATGGTGTCCATCAAGGTTGTCCACTTTTTCCATTTCCGTTTAACTTCATCATAGAACTGCTGCTAGAAATTATGTTTTTGTCGACTGATCTCCGACCAGGAGGTTCACTTATTGACTTAGAATACGCTGATGACATAATCCTGTTTGGTGAAGACGCCGATAAAATGCAGAGCCTTTTGGTAGCAATGAGCAACAATGCCAGGATATTTGGGATGGGTTGTTGCTTCAGGAACGTGGCCATTAAGAGTAGATATTCGTAAGCTACTCATATTTGACCACAAATGTCTTAGAAATATTGCTCGCATCTGCTGGGATCACCAGGTTAGTAATAGTGAGGTTAGACGTGGGGTATTAGGGAATGATATTAATGCAGTAGATGAGGTTGTGAATCTTCATCGACTGAGGTCGTTACGTTATATGATGAAGAATAAATGAACAGTAACTGACAGGCACTATTTATAGACTGTTATTTTATATATAATCTTATTGTATAATTGCTAAATAACTAGATTATATATATTTATATCCCCCTTACCTTCAGCTTTTATCTGACTTATTGACTACTATC